ACCGTGGTATAGATTTCAGTATAAATAATATTAATTATATCAAAATAAAATAAGAATTAAAAAATGTAATCGTGGCAAAAGTATGGCAAAGGCACTATATTTGCAGAGATCTATGCAAGAATCAAATGATTACTCTAAGCGAAACAAATTTCATGAAATAAAAATGTTTAAGCGTCATGCAAGGAGGTTATAATATGAATATAAGATGTAACCAAATGTTTATCTCTATTGTAAGAACCGTGGTATAAATTGCAGAGTCTGGTTGTGCAGAAAATTTGCGTGATATGCGCACCCAGCACTTTTGGGGATTCTCACTTTACCGCCCACTGGACGAAAAAATATCGCTTTCCAACACTTCAACCGTCATCGAAAACATTATAGGGTTTTGAAAACCAAGTAAATAACAAAAATAATAAAAAAACTGGATAAAGTTTGAGTATATGCATAAAATAAACTTAATTGAAACAAAAAAATTACAACTTTAAGGTAAAGTAAAACACACTTAACTGAGCGGAGAGCTGAATGCATTGATTACGCATATTTTGGTGTTGGCAACACTGTTCTAGGATTAAAATTATTTACAGTAGACAGGAAAAATTGTTAAGTAGACGTGATGCATAAAATCACCACGGTGGGAAAGGGTTAGAAAAAAACCATCAACCTGAGTATTAGTTTTCACGTATAAATAATACATTTATGGGGGAAAAAATTTCAATGGGGTTAAATGTCCAAAACCTCCCCACTGGCTACGCCACTGACACCATCTAGGTACATAATAATAATATAACATAACTTTTTCTTATAAATTACGATAATACAAATTTCAAATATATAATGATGTTCCATCGGTAGTCGCATTCAAAAAATGGTTCTGTTATTAATTATTTAATACTAATAAGTAATATCAGATTCATGAACGATATTAGAGAACATTCACTTGAATTGTAAACAAAACATGGAAATCATACCTAATAATTAACTTAATTATTTACAAAATGATAATGCTATGGCATCAATAAAATTATTATGTGAGCAAGGTCAATAAATAATAATAATATGCATACACATTAGATACCTATATAGGTTAGGTTTATAGTACCTTATACTATTGTAAAAAAAATTATTTTAATCTGAAAAGCCTATAGAACAACCAAGTACCTTCAACAATAACTTAAAACATGGGTTTCATGTCAATTTATCCATCACAAGTATAGCAAAAGCGGTTTTTCTCGTGTTTCGGGGGGTGTACGTTATTGTATTTTGCTAGTACAAAATTGTACAAAAAAAAGGAAAATACAGAGCGGGTACCCACTTGTCCACCTATTTTGCTATTAATGCACCTTGGAAAAAATAATTTAATCTGTAGTCAATTGCTAAATTAACCACCCTTATTATTTGCGAGTTTTCATAATTATTTCAATTATATTTAGTCAGTTTCTTTTTATAATTCAGTATTTTTTGTGGTAGCAAAAGTACACTTTGAGACTTCTAGCTTAGTGACGCCTATGATTATTATGCTTTAATGCAGTGGTCCCTAATAAACGGCCATCACTCGTAACTTTACAGCCAAAACTATATTGCTTAAATGCTGAATTATTTTCGGCGTAGACCCAAAGTAACCTGCTAATCAAAAAAATAGGTTTCTAGACCTCGAAATTAATTTTTCAAATATTCTAGGCCCCTTTTAAAACTAATTGCTGACATCTGCATTAATGTGATTTTATTAATGTTTGAAAAAAAACACGCATCATTGTAAAAACAATACATTCACCCAGAATCTAACATCATATCTATAACAACGTTACAATTAAATAATATAATATAACAAAAGTATATAAATCACATTTAGTACTGTATCACAAATAAAAATAATTAAAAAGCAAGTATACAGGTACATGGGCAATTTAAAAAAAAAAAAAGTATAAAGACTAAAAATATTTGAATTTTTATAATGTGAGTGAACATAGTAAAGTTAGTCTACAAAAATAATGTATTATTACCATTTTGTTGCATACCAACTTCACTAGTGTTTACTGATGAGAAATAATTGAATGTTTGTGTTCTTGAACATACTTATTACTTAGTACCTATGTTTACTATGGTTAATACTATTATTTGTTTATTTTTAAAATAAACTCCATAAAGCCTTATAAGTGCAGAGTGTTCAGTGTTGGGTAGTAACGCAACGAAAGGAACGCGTTACGTAATTTCATTAGAATTATTTCCAAGTGACGAAAATGTAATGGAAATTACTTTTGAAAAGTAATTTCTATAGAATAACGCGTTACAGTTTCGAATTATTAATTACCTACCTACCTGGCGAATCGAAAAAAAAATATAATATGTAGGTATAATGCGGGTTTTATTATGTTTACCAATCTAATATGTATATATATTTAATTTTAACTCTGCACAATTCAGTTTTCAATGGTTTTGACATTGGAAATATCTAATTACACCTAAATCACGAGAACAGTTAATTAAATGTATTATTTAATTTGATTCCCTTAAATAGGTTTCCTATGAATAGCTTGTGTGGAAGACTAAGTTTTATACGATCCTATTAACTTTAACTATACAGGTTATATAAAGAATTTGCTTGTTCAATTTTCCTGAACATGATAATTGCCAAGAAATTTAAATGTTTTTTTTTTTTAACAAAAAAGTAATGAGTTACTTTTCTATTTGAAAAGTAAAGTAATTTCATTACAATTTTATTCGACTAACGAGTAAAGTAACTTAATTACATTTATCTCTTAGTAATGACTAAATAGTAACTTAATTACATTTATCTCTTAGTAACGAGTAAAGTAACTTAATTACATTTATCTCTTAGTAACGAGTAAAGTAACTTTACTTTTTAAAAGTAACTTAACCAACACGCTGCGTGTATGATAATATAGATATGACATAATAATATGTACATTTATAATATTAGGAATGGGCCGATACCACTAATTATCGATATCCGATACTCCGATATATATGCTGCCGATAGAAAACCGATACCCAATAATATATGGAAATGTTAAAACAACATTTTTCACAAAAATACATGAGTCAATACCACTATAAAACCGATACCATCAACCGATATATAATAAAACCGATACCTGATAACACAAATATTAACTAGGAAAGTGAAAACATTGATTATTATTTATTAATGGTAATAAATTAATAATTATTATTTAATAGTTATCACATGTTTGTTCATTTTTCAGTCTTTAATACTTTAATATTAATACATAATAGTCTATTAAATAAAGTAAACTCATGAACTCATTGTTATGGTTATTTTTGAGATATTTAATCAGATTTGAGGTAGTGAAATCTCGAGAATTAGTACCTCCTCTACAAATTATTTTGTTGCAAACCGAACAATGCGCCTTCGAAACATCATCTGGACATTTAGGTAATGAAAAAATTCCAAGCAACTGATATAGTGACTAATAAGCAATAATTATTAAATTTAATAATATAAATATTACATTTACAATACACTAGTATTAACTATTTAATATTTAGTAACCTCGTAAGTAGTAACATTAGTAACTACTAACTAGTAGTGGGACACTGTGATTAGATATAGTATTGTTATCTATTGTATTACAATTTTGAATTTTTAAAAATAATACTGCTATTAAAATATCATTGTAATGTGATAACAGTCCTGCCAATAATCTATAGCATTTGATTATTGATAACATAACCTATGTCCTGTGCATTTGTGAATTATAAATACTATGCTGATCGGTAGGTTTTTTTTTTTTTTTTGGTATCGGTTGAAGTGTCGGTTTTGGAGAAAAACCGATATCGGCCGATATCTAGTATCGGTCCATCCCTATTTATAATAACTCTACTTAAGAGGACGCCAGCAAGGGCATTTGTTGTATCCGTCTTATACAAACGTGCAAGGTGGTAAATTTTACGATCACCCTAATTTTACCCTGTAATTTCTAAAATTAAAGTGACTTTACCTTTTATAAGGTTTAGAGGTAAAGATATTATCTACGGCATCTCTGATGATTTTATTGATATTATTATTTTTAAGTAAGTTATGATCATTTTAAAATGTGAAAAAAATGTACGGTTTGAAAATGCAGGTAATAACTATTGCTTCTTAACAAAAATATCAATAAGAGCCTATAGATATTCCCTTGATAATAATATTACATTTAAATTGTATAAGATTGTATGAATTACAGAGTATAATATGTTGTTGTGAACATAAATTTGTCATATCGGACAATTGTAAGATGGAGGCTACAATTATGCAGATGGAATACTTTCTAAAAATAAGGAACACGTATTACTAAGCTATATTTTATTATCTTTGGAAGAAAGGAATTAATGTCCGCATTTTTCCTACAAGTACCCATATTATAAAGGATTGAGATTAAGAATTTTTTGAATATCTTTTAAAGTACTATACTTGTATTGTAATTTAATGTTTAATCAGCTTCACCTCTACAACAGAAGTTGAATAGCCATATACTACATTATCGTATGGTTTTTGGTCCAACAATATGGTAGATAATCTTTTTTTATTTTTAATGTAATAATGTGTATACCTACATATATCATTATTATTTATTGACCTCGATTTCACTATTGTTGCAGTAGATAACTTTAACATGTAATGACATAATATATTAAAAATAGTTAATAGATAATATTATATATTATACCCATAGGTAAAGGTTAATTATTAGGTATGATTTTATTGTTGACGATTTATTCAGGGGCGTAGCGAAGCCATATTTTTAGGGGGGAACTAAGTCCATTTGGCCGACTGACTATTAAAAAAAAAAAGTTCATTCATGTATAATATATGTTTTATTTTTTTATTTTATTTTTTATTTTTACAATATTGTCAATGTTCTTACTTTAATATTAAAAGTTAAAACTGTTAAAACTTATAATTAAGTACTATAATACAATTGAGTTTTGGAGGATGAACTTACAACAATTAATAAAGCAATTGATATTAAAAGTTATTAAATACAAATCCTTCTTTTTTTTAAAATTGACCATTGTTTAGCAATAAGATCTAACTTAATATCGTCTACTATGTCCTTTTCCGAGGAAAGTAACAGTAAATCGCTTAAACGGGAGTCACTCTGGGTTGTTCTTAAGTAATTCTTTATCAATTTCAACTTGCTAAACGAACGCTCATTTCCAGCAACAGTTACTGGAGCTGTACACAGTAAACGACACATTCTATTGGCTATAGGAAGCATTTTCTTTGTTTGTTCCGAAACAGCAGCTACATCCGAAACAGTTTCCACTTCTTTGCATTGGTCATAAAGTACCTCTAACTCAACCTGTAGATGTAACGGGTCTACAACAAATTGTTTAGGTAAAAATGACATTGCATCTTGAATTCCAGTTTCACTTAAGTTATTCCTTGATACAGGGGGATTGAACATATTATATAATGGTTTAATTGTACCAATGCAACTTTCTAAATTATTTTTCATCAGTGACGTGAGCTCGTCCAACACAGATTTATATCTGATTTATATTGATATTTTCTGAAACTATATCCATCTGTGTCATTAACATATTGCATTTGTCCATTATAGAAGAAGAAGAAGTTTTAAGGATGTGTTTTATAGCATCTTTTACTTCAATTACAAATTTGTAACTATTTACAATTTCAGCTTCATGAAGTTGGTGAATTATTGGTTTACACATATCTATATAATCAATTAAATGTTTAAACTGCCCAGCACAACTCAAAACGTTTCCTGTTAAATCTGAACATTCTAAATTTGTTTCTGAACTTTGGTTAGGGAAATCACATTGATTAACTTGTCTTTTAATTCGTTTTCTTGTTGTGTTTTATTGGTTTCCATAACTTCAATTTCAGAAAGATGTGTATTGTCACTTGGCTTGGTAGCAGATATTGGTAACTGGACATCAGAGGTTGGACTTAATTTTGAGTTAAACTAACAAAATAATTCATTGGTTAGGTATTGTACAAAATAAATTATATTTGCTTTTTAAATAGTTGAAGGACATAACAGAACAAGTTTGCTTAGATTTAAAGTACCTATGCCATTATCTAAGAAATTTTCCCCAAAACGTTTTTCATTGTGTTGACTACAATAATACACCAATAAACTTGAAATAAAACAATTAAAAAATTTGTGTTGTGAATGTTGTGATGTCCTTTAATGATATTTTAGATTCAGTTGAAAATTGAATCCGACTAGTTTTTAGAAATATATTTTTAATTCAAAATAGTCGTAATGAAATACGTCAAATACGATAATATTACATATTACTATGTTTATTTTACTTTACTTAATGCTATTTTTCGATGATCTGTATTTATTATATATATATAATATTATGTCTATCGTCATTTGTCATATGGACATGTAAAACACGTACAATTTGAATTATAAAATCAACTTTTTTTGTTTAATTTCTTTACATCGATTTGGCCGACTATAATATTAAAAAAGTCCAAATGGCCGACTGTGGTAAGTTTAGGGGGGCAAGATGCCCCCCCCCCTGAATCCCTTTAGTTTCGCCCCTGGATTTATTCAAGTGCGTGTTTAGTAATATATATTATGAACCTTATGGTAATATATTATTATCCATTGAATTTTTTTTTGATTTCTGTTGAATATGATATTAATATATATAATATTCATAACTGTTGGTGATTGTAATATGTATAGGTACTGATATTATTCATGAATCTGAAATTAATTAATTTAAACACAGTTTTTAATTTAAATAAAATCTGTATATTTCAATATTTGAAATCTAAAATTCATCCGATATTTTATATATCTAATTGTATAATGTATAGAAATAGTTGTATCTATGTGCCACTACATATAATATTATGTTAAAATGAAATAATATAATCCAACAAAAGTATCTAAACCACATTTAGTATTGTATCACAAATAAAAAAACAAGTATAGGTACATGAAAAATAACAATAAAAAAAATAAAAGTATAATGACTAAAAATATTTAGTTTTTTTTTAATGTGTGTAAACATAGATAGTCTATGTATAATGTCTAAATTTTTTTTAATATCTTCATAGTCTATCTCTTTCAGCTATAGCTTCTGTTGAGATAGTGAGTATAATACAAATTAATAAAATATGTGTGACAAAAATATGTGATTGATACAATAAAGAAGAATTCAAACATTAAAATGATTAGAAAATTGAGCGGACAGTTTCACGTATACAATTTTAGATTATAAATACAATTTCACTTACACTAAAAATAAAAAAGTATATAATATAGATATGTAAAAAATATTAAAATACATTAAATATATTGCTCTATAGTTGGGAAAACAACCAGTGGTATATAATTTTTTAGGAACTTTGGTACAGTAAAGTTTTTTTTTATATGGATGTGGCATAAAAAGAAATAAACAGGGCCTAAATAATTAACAAAAGATTAATAATAATTATTAACAAAAGGCTTTTCCTGTGTATTTTACTGAAATATTATAAAGTCTGCATTCTCTTTTACAATCATAACATTTTTCATTTACCCCTTTGATGAAACTATTGAAAATTAAGATAATTTCTACTATTTATAGAGAGACTTAATTGGTAGAATACCCTTAAAACGGATAATTTGAAATGTTGTACCTACATTTGTAAGACGCAGCCTATACAAATGCTCGCGTGGCATCCTTTTGAGTTATTAATCATGTATGAATATTGAATACAAAACAATTTTTAAATATAAAATAACTGGTTTACTGATGAAAATCATAAATGCTTAATTTGTAATGGAAAAATTCCAGTTCGGACGGAAAGGGGTTATTTTGACCAATCATAGATCTGTTGGTTTTAATATGAAATGAAGGGAAAATTCCGGAGTTACATTCAGGTATGTTGATAGGAATACTTTCTAAGAATAAGGAACTGTATAAGTGACTGAGAAATTTATTATCTTTGAAAGAAAGGAAATGTCCACATTTTTGCCACAAGTATATAAAGGATTGAGATTAAGCCTTTTTTGAATATCTTTTAAAGTATTATACTATAAATATGTACTATAAGTAATTTAATGTTTAATCAGTTTCCCAATGCTGATTCACCTCTACAACAGAAGTAGCACAGCCATGAACTACCTTGTTTTTGGTAAATTGAATACGAGATTTGTATGTTCCATAAAAAGACTGCTTTGGTAAATTGGCATAAAAGTTCTTATTAAGCCTGATACCAGATGATTTATAACAACCCTGGAAATACGTATAAACCATATTTTTTCTTCTTTACATTACAAATGATAAATAATATATTCTGGATAAAAATAAGTAATTGGAGTTAAAATTACAAATATAATCGTAAAATTAAATAAAAAATGTGGGCAAGTGGGTACCGCAATGCTATACACTAGGTGTGGTGTGTGTCACATAATATGGATCATAGTACAACAATATAACACCATTGTACATAAAAAACGGTCTGTCAGCATATTTTAGGTGATAAGTGGTAAAGTAGTAACTATAATTAAATATACGAGTATTATTGCTAGTAATTTGCTACTAAAGTAATGTTTTTTTACTTAGGAATAAAGTATAACTTGAATTAGTTTTTGACGAAAAATTTGCATTTTTAAATATCATTGTTTATATAAAAAATTACAGTAATTTAAGTAGACATCTTAAAAGTTTTATTTACGCCTTGTGTTAAAGAAAAAAAAGTAAAAATTAAAGGCACAATTGCAAAATTAATAGATTCATCTCTCCGCCCAGAATCTATAATCGAGTTAAAAGTGTAAGCAATAGATACTGCAGCAATCGTGTATATTTTAATTAAGAAAAAAATATTATTCATTGAATCAAAAAATACAATTTGAGATGAGTTTTTCTTTAAATTAAAATTGTCATGCATTTGTTTCAAGGGCTTCGGAGCAGGTGTGTTTTTAGTACAAAACATGTCTTACAGGAAAAACTCTAACGGTCCTTATAGAGTAGTCGGATTTCTTTATTTTAATTTCTTTATTTAAAAGAAGAGAACATTTTGCAGATCGGATCAAAGCCCGATTTCAAAATTATAATTATAGACGATATATGTACTATATAATATAAAATATCGGTATAATATAATTTATAGAATTTCCGAAAATTGGAAAAACCGGCACCGACACACTTAAGTTTGTTAAATAAGTGGGTAGTAATATACTCACACTTAGGACAGTATTTTAATGTAATTTCTCGATTCTTTTAAATACCTAAACTAATATCTATATTATTTTTATTTATATAATGATTCCATACCACGGGAATAGGACAACTTATATTGTGCATTCCTAAACTTTCCGTTATTGCAGTCCAAGAATTTCCCATTAACATTTTGAGTGACGAGCAAGCTTTAGCTGTCTTATAAACATGAGCATTGTTCTTCCAACCATTAACAGAATCCTTTATCTCCGGGTTAATTTCCATCAACAAATTTTCAGAATGAAAATCGTGATAATTGTCGACACGTATCGTTGGAATTAGAAACAGTAGTTTTTGACAAAAAAAAGACTTGGTAGTGAGGCCCCTTAAAGAACGTAGGTATACCTACATAGGAATTAATTGTGAAGAAGACAAACATATATACCTGTCATAAATTTCACAAACCAAAAATTATTGGGAACCTTGTATTCTTTAAGTTTTTGACGGTGCATACATTTTTATAGACAATAGTGAAAAAGGTGGGCAAGTGGGTGTCGCTCTGCTGTACAGTAGGTTACAAGTGGGTCACTGTATAATGGATGGTATTAAATTTGAATTCAACGATATAATATCATTGTATAAGAAAAACGATTCTGAGCGGTGACGGTATGTCAGTCTATGTATAAGACAAATTATATACATATCTATGGTATTAAACAAAAAATTGACCTATAATAGGTACCTATAATAAATTCCAAACTAATCATATCACAATATCCATTAGATACTTATAACACGTTATACATCAACAAAAACCGTGATACTATCATAGATATATAATAGTACACTTTAGAAATTTCAAGTACCCACGAATAATATTATTCAATCACAACAAAATAACTAAAATCGTAATTCTTGGTTTAAATATGAAATTTTGTCTAAATTTGAAATTAAAATGTCTGTAAAAAATAAGTGTGTTTATATATTTTTTAGATTTTTTGGTTACAGTATGAATTATTTAAGAGAATCTTTGTTTTAAATTTTCAACTCTTAGTTATAAAAACTGAACATTTTATAATTTTTTAATTCCAACGATTGATAGTTTTCGAGATTTTGATAAATTTTGTCAAAATTCCAACTTTAAATGCTTATAAAAAAAATCGTGCCTATGTATTTTTAATATTTTTCAACTGATATTGTAACAATATATCAGGAGCCTTGTATTAAATTTTTACACTTTTTGGCCCAACAGATAAAACTTTATTGATATTTA